GATCTCCTCTCCTCCTCCTCCTCCTCGCCTCCTCTTCGTCCCCGCTCCATCGCTTCACCATCCTCAGCTGCTGACGACAACAAGCGGGCCAACCCCAGTTATTATGTGAAAAATAACTTTTCAAAATTAATTTAAGATTTGAAATTTCAAAGAGGATTTTCAACAAAAATTGGGTTTAAAACATGTGGATCAACTAGGACTAGTTGAGTTATTTTGGGGTGCATGGCGAAGGGGGAAGGGAGTAGACGAGGAGGAGAGAGGATAGCGGGGGGAGAGAAAGAGGAACGGAGAGCAGAATGACAGTGAGGTCATGAGAGAAAGCAGTGGCAGGAGGATGGAGTATGCTCGTACAGGCCTTGTCCAGCAGAGAATGCAGCCTGAGATAATGAAGACCTGTTTTAAGAAAGCTTTGCTTGGGATAAAGGAACGTTGTAATGAGGTGGGGCGGGGGAGGGGGGCAAGTAGAGCCAGAGAGTAACGCATATAGACACCTGCTTTCATGCGATTTGTTTGAAGTCTGGAGGAAGAACAAGTGGATTTGACTTGAGGGATGTCTTTGCGATGCAAGTTTGTGTTTTGTGAAAGGGGCGAAACGGTCAAACAGAGAGGGAAAGGGAAAGAGAAGTTCACAGGCAAGTAGGAACTGGTTGGGAGTCACCGAAGAGCCATTCGGGACGAGCACGCGAGGCTGTTGATAACGTTGCCCTGCCCTTGCCTTTGAGAGTTGTTCTTCATGATGTTGCTCACATAGTGAACAGGATGGGGAGATGCCACTACCTGGAGGCAGAAGAAGAAGCTGGTCAACATTGTCTCTTGGACACTCAAACAGTTTACGTGAGCAGGACCAGACCCAGAAGGTAAGTCACCTTCGGTCCCTCGGTGTCTCAGACTGAGTTTCTGCAGGAACGTTGCTCTCTGGCCTGAGAAGCTACGGCGGAATGTTGCTCCTGCAGGTAAGGGTAGAGCGTGCTTGCCGTCAGTAGCTGGTAGATGACGGACTGACCGATGTCGCAGTGTTGTTGCTCAGTGTTGTCGTGACTTGTGGCATGCTGGGGACATCGAGAGATCGCAAGGTTTGGGATGACATGCTCTAGATATGAAGAATGGTCTGTCCGCTGAGACATGTCGGCAGGATTCCCTTGAAAGCGAAGGAGAGATCGAGTATGAGGTAGCCAGGGCTAAAGCCAAGATAGCGTCTGATGAGGTTGGATGCGTTGCCTGCAGAGGCTAAGAGGTGTACTGATCCGATTCCACAGCTGGAAGTGAAGAACTCGCGAGAGAGATTGAACGCCATCGTCGCGCAGCTGGTGATCGCCTCGTCGACTCACTGCTGACTCATGCATGTCGTGATGTCCATGTTGTGGTAGGGAGGGGATAAGGGGAAGTCAGGCTCGCAGAGGTCGACGGGGCTCGCAAGACTCCTCTATGACAAGTGAGTTGATCGGTCATCGCTGCTGCTGGGCTCACGAACTGGACGCAGGGCTGAAGATTATCGGCTGCAAGCTGAAGTGGAAGCAGCCTCAGTAGAAACAGCGAAGCTTCATGGTAGGGAGGAGAAGCGAAGAGAGGGTTATCGAGGATCAATGACTTGCTATGTCAGGGAAAACCATCACAAAGAAGGGGCAACAGCAAGCAGACATTGGTGAGCATGGATCTCATCGCGCTTGTGTGGAGCAGCTGATGTTCTGGAATCAGTCGAGAACGACGATCGCTTTTATGCTGATGCGTTGCGAAAAGCAGCGGCGAAGGTTCGTGATCCTGTTGACGAAAATGGGTGATTTCAATGGCAGAGAGCGAAACTGCATCCTGAACAGAAGCAGATTCGCATGTTTCTTCAGCAATACAGGTGAGGACCCAAGATCTCTCATGTCCATGTGTGACTTGAGGCCCCTAGGGACAAGGATCAGCTTCTGCTGGGCAAGCTCCATGAGGAGAACAAGCTGAAACAGGTCACCGACTCTCAGCAGACGCAGCCAGTCTGACGCGCCGCTCATGCAGGAAGAAGCTCTGCTGCGAGCTTCAGAAAAACGCCTCTATGATCTGGAGCAGAGGACGAGGAAGTTGCCGCATGCGAACTCGAAGGTCAGAAGCAGAAGATTGTGTGCTTGATGGCTGAGGTTACGAGACAGGTTGAGAAAGCAGAAGAAGAAGCCATGGAGATTGAGAAATTGTTGAAGCAGAAAGCAATTCACTAGCTTGACTTCAATGCCATCTAGCTTTAATGCGAGTAAACAGTGCACTCGATCTCTTCATCTCTCCACTCTCTCCCGCTGTTTCCTCTTTCATGCTACATCCAAGTCTGCATTGCCTCCTCCCCAGAATCGATCGATTCTCCCTCGACCCTCAAGTACCAGCTCATCCAATCTTCGTCCATGCCTGGTCCTTCCTCCACGTGCTCCGGTTGGACAAGCGCCTCGACCACTTCAGCGCCCTCCTCCTCCATGCTCCCGTCGCCTTCCGCCATCATGGTGTCGCTATTGCTGTCGCGATCAGCATTTGCAGACGCTTCCTCCTCCTCAAGCACTTCAGAATGATCCTCTTCGGGTAATTTGAGAGCTTTGTTTGAGCTGTCCTCGTTGCTCGTCGTCTCCCTCCTGGGCTCGCTGGCCTCGTCCTGCTGGGGTGATTGTTGTGCTGTCCTTCGCTTGTTGTAGGGCCACCTAGCAATGCCGAGGCGGCGGCAGGCGCTCTTGAAGGAGGTCAAGGAGATGCCCTGAGAGCAACGTCATCAACAGAAGCATCGCGATCATGTCCAGCCGCTTACCAAGTGCCGAGCGGCATGTTCCTGCTTGAGGTGCGTGAGGGCCCGGAGGACGGGGAGGTCGATGGTGATCTCGTGGGGGTAGTAGTTGGGAGGAGCGTTTCTGGCTCGGGGAACGATGCTGACGTAAGGGAGCCTGGCGGGGTCGGTCATGGGCGAAGCGATGGCGAGGAGAGGAGGCGATGGGGAGCGAGGACCGACCCAAAGCAAAGAGGCGAGGGCGTGGGGTCGGCGTGTGACTGTCCCCGTGATCGGAGACCCTTCCATATCTATCACAAGTAGTCGGCGGCTCAACAGGTGCTGGTTCACAGACCTGCTGACTTTTTTATGTCAGCACAGCCTTAACTACGCCGCCTCCGCAACTCTCTCGTACTAAACTTTACTCATCAAAATCGCTTGAGGTCGCAAGGGACCGTCGGAGGTCTTCTCCGGTTATGAGCCTCTGCCCGAACTAGCCACAACTTGATACTCTCTCGGGCCGGCCGGGTCCAGAAAGTACCGTAGTACTGTCCGTGTCCTCAGGCTCTTAGCTGGACGGTGTCGCTTTTGTGCAGCCTCACCCTCTAGTACCTCAAGAGTCAACCAGCTTCCGGCCATCACCTCAGTCAGTACCTTAGCGGCAGCCTCGAGACTCGCCTTCACCCACGGCGCCAACTGCGTCACGAGTCAGTGAGACCCGCAGGGCCCGGCCCGACGAGTCACCTCCGTTGCTGCGAGGTCCCTCTCGTTCTTGTCGTAATACTCCCCCCAGAAGGTGCTAAGTCTGCTCGCCCATCCGGCCCTGCACGAGCTCAGGAGTGGAGGAGGGGAGGAGGGGCGCGGAGGCAAAAGGCTCTACCTAGAGTCAAAGATCAACGCTGGGCCGTTCTCCTTCACGGCCTCGCACGCCCTCGCATCCTTGCCCTTCCTCTGAGCAAGCAAGGAAGTAAGAGAGGCTCCTAGCGTCACTCCCAAGTCCCGGCAGGCTTCAGGGATGCACTTCACCTGCATGCCGAGGCTCCACTGAAGGTACCGCACGTGCTCTACGTCGAGGTCGATCGGAATGTGAGTGTGGCCGAAGACGTGAAGGTCGGACTTGACTTGACGGAGCTGTCGCTCTATCAGATCAGATCCCACGACCTGCGCCTCCTCAGTCGCCTCCACAACCTCCACCAGCCATGCCTGACCTTGGGCAGCTCCGAAGTGATCAAGAAGCGCTTCTCGGGGACGAGCTCTTGTCGGGGCACGAAGTGCGACAGGGTGATGACCTGCAGTCTCAGTGAGTCTTGGGAGTGGAAGAAGGACGAGGACGAGGACGAGGACGAGGACGAGGAGGAGAACGAGGAGGACGAGGAGGAGAAAGAGGACGAGGACGAGGACGAGGACGAGGACGAGGACAAGGACAAGGACGAGCGTTAGCGGCCAGACCTTGATGCTCTCCCTCTTGCTCTTGACAGTAGCAAACATCTCAACCCAGGGCTCGTTGAGCTTGGCGAACATGTCGGCAAGCCCCTGGCTCTTGCTGGAGACATTACTCCACTCACCGATTGGAAACTCCGGAACCTCCGGCCACTTGCAGTAGCGGAAATCAGCCCACCTCTCCTCGAAAGCAGGCAGGCCCTTGATTTTGATCGACTCATACGCGGAGGGCGGGAGCTCAGGCTCCTTGTCCCAACTCGCGTGATACCATGAGAAGAGGGGGAGGAGGAGGAGGTCGCTCCTCCTCCGGTCGCCCCTGCTGTCTGGGCCCTCGAGCGATACGAGGCAGGGGTTCGCACGGACGCCTTGCTGACGGCAAACCTCGAGGATCTGCTCCAACTTGTCGAGGGAGTTGACGAGGCTCCTGCTCTCATGCCCCTGGTTGATCCAGAACTCGTGGTTGCCAGGAATGTAGACTACTTCGTCGAACTTCTCCCTCAGCGTCGTGAAGCAACGCTCTAGCTTCTCAAGGTTGGAAGCGACGTCTCCGGCCAGGATGAGGATTGAAACACAGCCGTCTTCCTTGTGCGATCGTAATCCTTCCAGCCACTGCATGTTGGGGTTGTAGTCGACATGCACGTCGGAGAGCACGAAAAGTTTGACTGCAGGGGCTCGGATCTTTGTGAGCTGACTGGAGATGCAATCTTCTGTCCTCCATGGGACCTTGAAGCGCCTGAAGCTCACGGGCTGCTGCGGGACGCCATCCACAGCGAAAGTCGGCTGCATCGTCGATGCTCAGACTTGGATGGGAGGGGCGGCAGGCGAGACTTGAAGGAGAGGACTGAGACGTCTACCAACACGAAGAGAGAGAAAAGCAGACGGACAGTCGCGCCCATCCCCCATAGGTCAGAGCAAGTCGCGACAGGAGGAGAAGGAGAAACGAGGTGGAGCAGAGGCAGGAGGAGCAGGAGCAGGAGCAGGAGACACGAGGAGGAGCAGGAGGGACGAGGAGGAGCAGGAGCAGACGAGGAGTAGGAGCAGGAGCAGGAGACACGAGGAGCAGACGAGGAGTAGGAGCAGGAGCAGGAGACACGAGGAGGAGACGAGGAGGAGGAGACGAGGAGGAGACGAGGAGGAGACGAGGAGGAGACGAGGAGGAGCAGGAGCAGGAGCAGCAGGAGAGACGGGGAGGGGGCGGCGGGGGGTTGGAAGGGATGGGAGGGCTGAAGTAGTTTCTGCCGTGGAGCAGGACACAGGTGCGTGTGAAGATGTTTTACAGATAAAAAAAAGAATAAAAAGACCATTGAAAGGCCTTTCAACTGCCGTCGCAGGAAGTGACCCGGGAACCGAGGAGGAGCAGGAGCAGGAGCAGGAGCAGGAGGTGTGTGAGGGCAGCAGTGCAAGCATCACGATCAGTCTGAGGGTCACATAAACGAGAGAAGAAGAGGGAGGGAGGGAAAGTGAAGGAAGTATGGAGAATGAGGACGAGGACGAGACTGATTCACGAAACCACGATCGACTGCCCGACGAGCTAGTATCAGGTGGGCAGACATGAGGAGGAGGAAAGGAGGGGGCCGGGGGAGGGGGCGGGGGTGGGGGTGGGGGTGGTGGT